TTGTGTATTTATATGTATATGTATATGTATATGTATATGTATATGTATATGTATATCTTAATGTATATGTATACACATGATACTATTTGAACTGTTGTTCAGTTTCAAAATTCTTTTTCTGCATCAAGTTTGATTCCACACTTTATTGGTATTAGTATGCATCGCTCAGACCGATCACACCAATAATAAACGTCGATAGAGAATGACATATCCGATAAACTAAGGATACAACCTCTTGTCCTGAATCTCAAGCAAAAAAAGCTACGTCCAGCACCAAACACGACTCGAAAACTGATATACTCAAACAACGTTGGGGGTATTAATGTGCATATTTTCATATCTAGGTTTATTTTGCTTCTGGTGTTTCCTACTGCTTGTCAGCACAGTTCTCACACTACCTGAGAACACTGTGGCGACGTTTTCCGGCCAGCTATGAGAGCACTCCATGCTGCCTTTCCAGACACAGTAAGGACAATTTACCATGGCACACCCGCGATTGCAACGGACAATACAGTTGTACTTGACGTATAGTCACTTGAAGTATAGTCACTTGACGTATAGTCACTCGAAGTATAGTCACTTGCCGTATGATCACTTGACGTATAGTCACTTGACGTATAGTCGCTATACGGCTTGCTTCGATCCGAATACTCTGTGCCAATTCCTGTGAACGGCTTTATCCGCCCAGCTGGAGGGCTCGTGCTTGTTTGACGGTCAGTGTGACTGTACTGCGCTGCCAGGCCATACAACCCTCGCTGTAGCATACGTGTTCTCCGATGCAGCCAGTTCTCTCTCGCGATCTCTACAACCCTCAGCTGCTGATGGGATGTGCGCGTATTTGGAGTGTGGAGTTTCCGACAAAGACCGATTTCTGGTGTTGTTTTGTGTGGGAATCTTTCGCTCCGTATGGTCCACTCACTGAGCGAACCAAGCCTCTTTCTCTCTCTCTCTTTCATACTAAATTTCGTTGCTTCCTTCCTAAATTATACTATTAACTACTAATCTCAAACCCTCTCCCTGTGCTCGCCAATCATATACAAACATGCACATTCAAGTGTATGTACACATACCCACATCCTAATATACAAACGACCGACCTACTATGCAGCCTTGTTTTGAACTCCTGGCGGTCTCGCAGCGGCCGTAGGAGCACTACCAGGCGCTCTCGCACCAGCCGAGTCCACAGAACTCTTATCTATCGTAGTGTAGCCGTCTGCCCCACTACCATTGCCCTCTGCCACAGACAGACTGGACATACCGTTCGTATTCGTGTCCTGCGACGTTCGTCGTGTGTTAGTATAGGTTATTTGTGTTTGTGTTGGTGCTGGGGCCTGGGCCTGGGCCTGGTCAGGATCTTCGGTGGCATCTGCATGATCGTAGTAGCCCGTTTCAGTCTCTTCGCCACCCCCTTCAGAGTCACTGCCCGCTGCACGCTGCGACGTTGCTCTGCAGATAAGAAGAAGAAGAATGAAAGCAGTATATAATCAGTATCTAGCAATAAATATCTATCTAGCAATAAATATATTATCAGTATCTAGCATTAAATATATATTCAGGATCCAGCAATAAATATATAATCAGTATCTAGCAATAAATATATAATCAGTATCTCGCAATAAATATATAATCAGTATCTAGCAATAGATATAAAATCAGTATCTCGCAATAAACATTGGTATGCACAAAGGAGAGACAGTCTAGTCAGTACCGAGAACTGGATCCAAGCAGCGACCTCAATATGCGAATAGCACTGCACAAGACACCTGTTTACAGACAAGGTATATAGAGACCCTCTGGTTGTACTACAGGATACAGAGGAGAGGCTATCAGGTTATAAAGCACGCGAGTACAGTAAAAGGTCTACAAACAAAGTGACGATTAAAAATCTATAATATAAGAAAAGGAATAAGATTTGCCCATTTGTACATAAAAAGATCTACATAAAAAAACACAAATGGGACTACAATAGAACACTCTACACAGAGACGATTGAAACGGAATACATACGAGCCGTCAATGTAGGTGTAGCTGCTATTTGAGTCAGTGTTATCGTCATCTCCTTGTTTAACCAGTCCTATCGTCGCGTCCGTAGGAGCGACGGTATTGTCATAGCCGTCTGGAGTGGCACCTGCATGAATTTATATACAACATACTATGAGTCATCCGCTCGTTCGTGTACGGGTAGGAATATGTATACGACTAAATCCGTCTACGTGCATACAGGTTCCCTTCGACTTAATTAGAGTGCAATAGAAAGGCAATCATACATATATATATCGAAATATCCATCTACATTTGTGTGGCATATATGCGTGTGTATGTGCGTTAAATATATATATATACATGTGTGTGTGTGTGTGTGTGTGTGTGTGTGTGTGTGTAGTGTATGTATATGTATGTATGTATAGTAATATGTATAGTAATATGTAT